CTCAAAAAAAAAAAAAAAAAAAAAAAAAAAAAAAAAGAATTAGGTTTCTCAGGGCTAGATGCAGTGGCTCATGCCTATAATCCCAGCACTTTGGGAGGGTGAGGCAGGAGAATCACTTGAGCCCAGGAGGTCAAGGCTGCTGAGGTCACACCACTGCACTCCAGCCTGGGTAACAGAGTGACACCCAGTCTCTAAAAAAAAAAAAAGAAAAGAATTAGGTTAATTCCTAGCCCCTCTGGGCCTTGTACACATTCCTGTGGCCACCTCTTTCCTCCCCTGGTTTCTGTCACACATGTGTCATGAAAGTTCCAGCCTGTGGCTTCAGGTCAGCCGTATCCAGACTTCAGGCCTGGGTTTATACCTGCCTCTGGGATAGCTGGCATGTCCCCCAGGGACCCCACCGTGGAGACACAGCCACCCAACCTGCCATCTTTCTCACCTGGCCTTGCCACTTTCTCCCTGTCTTGCCAGCCTCTGCCCTCTCCACAACTCCCTGGCCCCACTCTACCACTTCTGCTGACTCACCAGTTACCCCTCTCTGACACCCAGGGGGTCTCTCCCTGAATGTCCCACTGCCCCTCATCGCACCCAGAACCCCCTGAAGGGATGAATCGTAAAATTACTATGCTGAGTGAAAGAGGCCAGGCAGTAGCTTTTACTATCTGCTCCCGTATAGAGCGATGATGTGGACTCTTCTACAGTGACGGGAAGTGGGTCAGCAGCTGCGAAAAGCAATGGAGAGGAACTGGAGGGAAGAATTACCAAAGACGGGAGGACTCTGGGCGGTGAGGGATGTGCTTGCCATCTGGATTGTGCTGGTGGTTTTGTGGGCATTTGTGTATGTCACCACTTACCACATTGCTCAAAAACCACGACGGGCCGGGTGTGGTGGGCCAGGTGTAATCCCAGCACCCCGTCTCTACTAAAAATACAAAAATCAGCTGGGCATGGTGGTGGGTGCCTGTAATCCCAGCTGCTTGGGAGGCTGAGTCACAAGAATCGCTTGAACCCAGGAGGCAGAGGTTGCAGTGAGCCAAGATCTTGCCACTGCACTCCAGCCTGGGTGACAGAACGAGACTCCATCCCAAAAAGAAAACAAAAACAAAAAGCACAATAAAGG